AGTAGCAGCGCAATCAGAGAGGGAATCATGGGGAGACGAGGTGCTAAGTCCCCGCTGCTGCGGCATGGTTGCAGGTCGGGTTGTACGTGGCGGGTTTAGCCAGATTATCCTACTCACCCGCTTCGAGCATCCAGGAACCGGTATTTACCTGCCCGGTTTGGTGGGCATCTGTTACATTGTCGGAGTCCGAACGAGTGCGTTGGGACGATGGGGTACTCTACGGCAGATGGCTGCGTCCCAGTGTGAAGCATCGGGGAACAACAAGTGGCGAGATTGTGTATTGATCGAATGGTAGATAGTCCATGAGGCATGTGCGAGCCATTGCAGCGCTTGGTCGTTTCCTCGGTCATGGAGCAGGCTGGGTTGCACAGCAGGAAGGCCTGCACACGTGTGGCATGGTTGCCACGGTCTGAATGGCCGTGAATGCGGGATGCGCACGGGATACCTGTTGTTGTCGAGATGGTGTTCGCAGTGAATCGCTTGCAAACCATGGGAAGCTAGGCCATAGCGCATGTGTGAGGAAGCTCGGAAGGGGTCCCAGCTCTATAATTGACCGCATCGAGACATGACGTAAGACGAACGACTCGCCGAGGCGTCTTCCACTACGGCACACGACCGTCGCGTTAGTACGTGTGAGCGTCACCAGAGCCTCAGCGATGCTTCCGCGGCGCCTGCAACCATCGCGATCAGGTGACTCGCATCTCTACCACATTGCGCCTTCTTGAAGCGGCGTCTAGGCATCCATTGGCAGCGACGTCGTCCACGTTGCTTCTTCGACGTCTCAACCGGTACTCGCCATGGACGGTGCGCCGGCCGACAGTCCCAGCATCCACCCTCAACTTCGCCAGAGGATGCTGAACCGCGCCGCCACCTTTGCTGAGGGTGCGCGACCTTCTACTCCCCCTACAGCCGCCCCTCGACGCCGCAGCTCCCTCGTCTCCGACCTCTCCGACTCGCGCTATTCACTGCGCTCCTCCAGCGACAATCTTCTTAGAGCGGGTGGGAAGAATGACATGGGCCGACATGCATCTCCAGACGAGCCGTCACGATGGATTGCGCTGCCTGTTGTGGCTGCCGTGGTCCCTGCCATCATTGGGTTGACGGTAGAGAACGGCGCAGATGTCGCGACAGACGTGTTGATATTGGTACTGGCGGGATGGTTCCTCCATTGGAGCGTCAAGGTGCCATGGTAGGTTGTAGCAAGCATGGGTGAGAATCACAGCTGAAGCGATGCAGGGACTGGTACCACGAGGCACAGCAACGACGATACTTGAATGACGACACGGATGACGCGACCTACGATGACACGATACATGAGGAGGAAGAGGATGCGCCAGAGGTTGTAGAAGAGTCTGCAGGCGAGATGCGGGACTCAAAGGTCAACACCACGGCCGATGCGCCCATCTCGCGAGCGCAGAAGGAGGCTCGTGAAGCCCTGAAGCGGTCTGAGATGCTGGCATTCCTCGGCTGCTTCCTAGGTCCCCTCCTCGGCGCCCTCCTCATGCACACCATCCGAGGCCAGCTCATGCGCGCCGAAGGCATAGTATCCGACGCGAACCTCAGCATCTTCCTCCTCATCGCCGAGATACCCCCCGTAAACCGCCTCATTAAGATGCGAACAGAGCGAATCCTCCACCTGCAGCGCATCGTCCGAGAAGCCCCAAGAGAGCCCGTCCGCTCAGCCGACACCCAGCAACTCTCACAGCGAATAACGGAACTAGAAAGCCGGATCGATGGCCCAGCGCCCGCCAACAACAACGAGGTCGATGTAGAGAAACTCAGCGCCGAAGTCCGCCAAACAACCCAACTCCAACTCGACGCGCTGAACCGCGCAGTTAGGCGCTACGAAAAACGGCACATGGCGCAATCCCTACAAATCGAAGCCCGCTTCCAAGACCTGGAAGCTAGATTGGGAGACACACTCGCCTTAGCTGCTGCGGCTGCTAGAACCGGTCAGCGGCCGGGCGTGATTGCTATGACGCTGAGCTGGATCGCCGGTACTATTAGCTACATGCTGCAGATGACTTGGGACATCGCCATGTATCCCTTCCGCACAGCAGCGGTAGCAGTGTCAGTAGCTAAATCGCTGTTCGTCCGAGATGAGCGGCAGGCAAAACGGAGGGTGAAGGGAGGGCAGGTAAATGGGCATACGGGTATGTCGACGAGTCGGATGCAAGCGAAACCTGTGCGGTAGTCTACATTGTCCTATTAATACTCTAATATTATCATCTTTTCTCCTATTCCAGTTCCTTGCTATCTACGTGGAAACGGGGTGTATATCATGGCGTGATGTTCGACATGGTTGTCATGTTCAAGGGCAGCGCCGATGCCGGCCACAACACCTACCCCAGCCGCAAAACATCCGGAGTTTTCCGAAAGAGTAACCCGAAAATGCAGGTACGAACGTTACTTCGGAGATAATGACAGCGTGTAGGCCAACCATATCAGAGACACTAGGTTGTTGTGGTGGCTGTACCTACCCCGCCCCCACTTTGATACGTGCGAAGGGAGGAACACGAGAGAGTACGACTGTGGCCGATGGGGGATGTAACGTGGTAATCGCATGCTTACTATTACTCCTACTACCTCTATATGCGCTTCGTCCTGTTTGACTCATCTTCTGGTTTCTCCTCTTCATTCTACATTCCCTATCCTTTAGACGTTGGCCGTGAGGAAGCCGTTCCACAACGTTCAAGTAACCTGTTGGTAAAGAAAAAGCAAGGACACAAAGAAACCGTGATAAATCACAACCATGTGTCCAAAATCAGACGTCACAGTCGACGCCTCGAAGTTCGATCGCAGTGGTATCGACAAACAAACCCTGGAGTTCAACGAGAAGTTGATTAAGATCTGGGCGGATGGACCGAGGTGGTATGAGGTATTTTTCCCATTCCCATCTCCGTCCCATTCCCTCCCTATGCCATCCCCTCCCCACCCAGTCTTATATCCTTCAACCCTGTGCTAACGTAAGAATGTACAGGTCGGCGCAGCAGCCTACCGCCAAATGCGCTGGGAAGGCAAAACCCCCTTACCCAAACCCGTCGTCTTACCCGAGGGTTTCAACGGCGCTCTCCCTTCCCGAGACGCTGGAAGGGAGATACCGTATAGGGTGTTTAAGCCGAGTGGAGGGGTGAGCAAGGGGATTCATATGCATATTCATGGTGGGGGGTGGGTGTTGATGAGTGAGGCTTAGTAAGTTGATGACTCTGTTTATCTACTGTGAAATCTACTGTGAAAGGGGGAGTATGAAGGGTAAATGTAGAGATGGGAAGGCAGGATGAATGGGGGTGGAGGAGTGGATGGGGATTGAGTTGATGCTGACTTGAAGAACAGTCAAGACCCCTACCTAAAATACATGGCCGACCACTTCGAAGTAACAGTCGTATCAATCGGATACCGCCTCGCGCCCGAAGACCCCTGGCCCGCCGGCGCAGAAGACTGCTATGACGCTGCGGAATGGCTGGTGAAGAACGGTCCGGAGGTGTTTGGTGGGGAATTGATGTTTACGGGTGGTGAGGTATGTGTCTTTCCCTCCCCCTCCTTTCTGCTTTCATTACCTCCCTGCACTACCCCCTTCCTTCTCTCTTTGCACACATACCCGACCCACCCAACCCAACACCCACACTAACACCCCCCTAGTCCGCAGGCGGCCACCTCGCCTGCCTCGTCGCCTTCCACCTCCTAAAAACGCTCCCCACATTCTCTTTCCGCGGCCTGCTCCTCCACTTCGGCTGCTACGACATGTCCTCCTTCCTCCCCCACGTACTCCACCACGAATCCTCCCTCGTAATCGACTACGACGTGATGAAATCCTACATCGACGCCCTGCTCCCCAACACCACAGAGGCCGATCGTCGCGACCCGTCGATATCGCCGTTTTGGCAGGATCTAAGGGGTATGAGACTGCCGCCTGCGCTGTTTACGTGTGGGAGTGAGGATCCGTTGTTGGATGATAGTGTGTTGATGGGGGCGAAGTGGGGGATGTGGGGGGCGGAGAGTGTGGTGAAGATTTATAGGGGGGCGCCGCATGGGTTTATTGGGTTTCCGCCGGGGACTATTAAGGCGGTGCAGGAGGTGTTGGATGATACTGAGGCGTTTGTTAGGGCGAAGATGGGGGTGTAAGCCGAGGATCTGTCTTCCGGAAGAGACGCTACACTAGGTTCAACCACCTGAAGTGCTTATCTCGCAGGAAGCTCATCTGAAACTCTTCCCATGCCGCCTCTTCAACACGCGTCTTTTTATTTCGCGTGACGTGTCTTCGCACACTCTTAGGCGGAAACACGCAGTTGTAATTGAGCACATAGCCACTGCCAATGAACCGAAACACCGGCAGTTGCGTATCATCAAAATGCCCGACTTTTCGAAGTATAAATACGACTAGAGACTCTCTCCACACTTGAACTTCTGGATGCTCATCAGACCCATCAAGCAATACAATTTGGTCACCGATCTCCATATTCTTGTTACCAATCCCCACAGAGTAAACCTGTGTTCTTGGGTCCTGGAAACAAAAGAACTCGTTGGTTGCTAATCGCCGAACCAGTTTGTGCACAATCTCTTGAACCCTGACTGAAGGCGCTATTGTATTGGATGCTGAGCCAGGTTTCTCGGAGAAGACTGCCATCTCTGCCAAGTGCTGCTCAAGCATTATTATGTCTTCATTGCTGACCAAGGGGAAAGACACCTTTATCATGTCAATGAGAATACTCCTAGTACCTAACACGTTCTGTGATAATTTCGATGGCAGACCAGATAGATGCAGAGAACGTCTCGGGTTCTGGAGTAACATATGCAACTGCGATAGCTGCGTCAAGAACGAGGTTTGATCATCTGCTGGCGTTCTCGAAGTCTTGAGCTGGACGGTACAAAGATCTTTCAACCCAACATCTTGCGTAGATCCTCTGTGGTTGAATCCCATACGAAGACCCATGGTATACACTTTCATGTCGGGATATTCAAGGTACTGTGGGTTACGTGAGAGATTTGAACCTATACGCCACTTATCTCGGGGTAAGACTCGCCAATCCGGTGCCCAGGAAGCCAAATCGGTCGACTGCGGAGAGTGCTGGCGGGAAAGCAAAGCTTCCCACATTTTTCCGTGCGTCCTGGGTCTCTCCCAGCAACTCAGGGCGAAGGCCTGGTAAGTGCCGCATACATCCAGCGAGCAATCGATATTCATGGAGACTCGTTCGTCTGTTCCTGATGTAAAACCGATTGCTTGGGATGAGTGTCGTACATCTGTTGCCATGCTATACAAAGCTAATATTCGATCCCGGGGATCTGTGCATCCGTATAACCTAAAACTTTCTACTAGGTTTAGGATTTGGGTGGCGCCTTCAGGTGTGGATGATGGCGCCTGACGAGAAGCTTTACCGAAGAGCGAATGGCGGTTCCAGAGTTTCCCCATCTCGTCAAGGACCGCCATTCTTGATTCGTGGAGTTCATTGACTCGAATGTGTCTCTGCAAGACAGATAGCGCAACCACGAGTCGGGAGAAAGTAAGCTCCATGCCGCCACAGATCAAGTGAATGTCCAAATTGAAGACGACTTCCTGTACTATCCAAAGTCTATTGAACCATGGCAGACTCAGAAATCGCAGGACGTCGGAGAAGCCATCATGTAGAGCCTCAAGTTGAACTGTGGATGCTCGAGAAAGCCGGTTCAGTTCCCGCATGCCTTGTTGCTCGACCGTAGTATCTCCACCCGGGTCAAGCCAAGCCATGACTCTTCGAGCACCTCGGAAGATCTGGACCATCAAAGGGATTTGCACTGCCTTCTCCTCGTTATCGGCCTGGTTGATACTCGCAGCGTCAGCCCAGAGAAGTCGATCCCGGTCGGCTCGGCGCAGATATCTCAGAGCGCGGTCAAGATTCTCTGTGACGAAGACTTGAGTACCGTCATCGACAAGTAGAGCGAAAGCCAGAATTGGTTGCCCCCATGTGTACGATACAGCTTCGTAACGCCCTTCGACATCTTCCAAAGTCGACGAGAAAAAGTTGATCCGCAGGGGTGCGTCTTTGGACATGGCTGGGTGCAGAGCAATCAGCCTGATGTGCTCTGGGCTCTCGAGTGCTGCGTAGGAGTGTCTGCGGACGCCGGGGTCACTGGTAAGAGCCATGAAGCCGGGCGATCCTAGAGACGACGGTACAAGAAGAAACGCGAATGAAGAATGTATGGTAAGAGAAATGGTTTGGCAGGCTGCAGCAGGCCTCACAAACGACGTGCATACCTAGGTAGTGCGAGGCTGATTAACCGGTGTAGCTGAGCCAATCACCGCATTGTCGTGCAGGATCCCATGGCGGCATAGTAACGTGATTAGCGACTCATTACCTACATGCCACTGCATATAATTTGTTCACTACGCTAGGCGTATTCATCTTTCGTGGTGTTCAGCTGTTGATGGTGTTGAGTCTGGATGATAGTCCCAGGAACGGAGGTTGATCCCTGACTAGCTCAAACGTCATACACCGCACGGCCTATCTCGCAAGCCCAAGGCGACGCGACAAGAAAACTTCGTGTCGCACGAACTCACCATGGCCCAATAGCCCACCATTCGCAACACCACAGTCGCCATGGCCGACAACGAGAGCCCCGAGAGGCGGCGGCCGCGCCGGATGAGCGCCATGTACCGCCGTGGCTCCCACTTGAGCGAGTACGTGTGACTTGCAGCTCCGCGTCGGGCGCGACTAATTGACTTTCTCAGGGCAAGCTTCATGGAAGATGTCGAGATGGCGCAAGATGAGGTATTCGAACTCGGCCCCATACCTCCTTCCCGTCCTGCCTACAACCCCCGTGGAAGGAAGCCTGGCCAGCAGCTGACGCCCACAATCCAGGTCTTCTCCGGCCCCATGAGCGAGAGCGTCCCCACGAGCGTCTCTGGATTCCGCCACCGCCGGTCGCGCGCCGATTCGAGTGCGAGTTTGACGAGTTTCGCGTTCTACGATGAAGAGCAGGATTCACAGGGTGAGGACGAGGATAGCGCGATTCTGGAGGACGGCGAGAGCACTTACAACAATGGCTATACCGTGTCGGAGCTGGAGGACCTCGAGGCGGGCATATCGTCGGAAACCTCGCATTCACCGTCACCATCGCGGCGGAAGTCAAGTGGCAGCAGGAAGTCATCCGAGCGGCCGCTGTTGCGCAGGCACTCTTCGACCGGCAGCGCAGGCTCAGGCATCGACTGGAGAGGGCGCAGGTCCAACCAGAAGATCTACATTATGACCGAGGACCTCACCATTGTCATCGCCGGCTTCAGAACATCGCCCATTGGCTACGCGCTCTATGCGCTACTCTGTTTCGTGACGCTGGGTCTCGGCTGGCTCCTGTTCAGATGGTTGCCAAGATGGCGGGTCGCGATAACAGGAAAGAGCTCACCGCTGAAGGAGTGCGATTGGATAGTCACAGAGAACCAGTGGGGCGAGTTTGCGGTGCAGCACGTCAGCAAGCAAACCTACGGCCGGTCGCTTTCGACTGTGTTCGGCGACCCTGAAAAAGGACGGCCACGGGAATGGGACGAGGAAGACGACCCGCTCATCGGCGAGCTCAGGTGCCTGGACTACCGCTACATCCGCTTCGTATACCACCCCATCAAGGACAAGTTCGTCCTCGCAAACACCTGGACAGATCCCACCTGGACCGAAGTCTCTGCCCTCCGCGAGGGTCTTGACAACGATGAGCGCGACTACCGCGAGCTGGTCTTCGGAAAGAACGTAATCGACATCGCCGAGAAGACTATCGGTCAGCTCCTAGTCGATGAGGTCTTTCATCCTTTCTACGTCTTCCAGATCGCCAGTCTGATCCTTTGGTCGATGGACGAGTACTACTACTACGCCTGCGCCATCTTCATCATCTCGGCCGTCAGTATCGTCACCACACTCATCGAGACAAAGGCTTCCATGAAGAGACTGCGAGAGGTATCGAAGTTCGAATGTGAAGTCCGTGTGCTACGCAGCGGCTTCTGGACCCACATCGACTCTGCGGAGCTTGTACCGGGAGATGTGTACGAAGTCACCGACCCTTCTCTTGCGCTGTTCCCCTGTGACAGTTTGTTGCTCTCTGGCGACTGCATCGTCAACGAGAGTATGCTGACTGGCGAGTCGATTCCTGTTTCCAAGGTCCCCATGTCGAACCACGCTCTAGACCTCCTAGATCTCAGCGCGTCGGCTGTCCATCCTGAAGTTGCACGACACATGCTGTTCAGCGGAACCAAGATCATCCGCGCTCGCAGACCGCACGAAGATCACGTTGATGACGAAGCCGCTGCATTGGCTATGGTTGTGCGCACTGGTTTTAACACCACCAAGGGCGCACTGGTCCGCTCGATGCTCTTCCCCAAGCCATCTGGATTCAAGTTCTACCGCGACTCTTTCCGGTACATATCCGTCATGGCGTTCATTGCTATGATCGGCTTCGTCGCATCATTCATCAACTTTGTGCATCTAGGCCTCGCATGGCATCTGATTGTCGTACGAGCTCTCGATCTGATCACCATCGTCGTGCCTCCCGCGCTTCCAGCTACACTCACCATCGGTACCAGCTTTGCCCTCTCGCGCTTAAAGCAGAAGCAGATCTTCTGTATCAGCCCCCAACGAGTCAACGTTGGTGGTAAGCTGGACGTTGTCTGCTTTGACAAGACTGGAACTCTTACCGAGGAAGGTCTTGATGTTCTTGGAGTCCGCGTAGTCGAGCGACCAAGAAACAGGTTCAGTGAGCTGCTCCCAGATGCTTATGACATTCTCCCTGCGTCGCAGCATGACCGCGACCCCACTGTCGAATACCTCGCACACAAGACGATTCTGTACACCATGGCCACTTGTCATTCCCTCCGCAAGATCGATGATGAGCTCGTAGGTGACCCGCTCGATGTCAAGATGTTCGACTTTACCGGCTGGAGCTACGAAGAAGGAGAACAGAAAGCAGGCAACGCTGGTGACGATGACCCTGAGCAAAAGCTTTCGCCCTCTGTCGCTCGACCACCACCAGGCCGAGAGTATGATGTCGACGATGTTGAAGATGATGCCAACAGGAAGCAAGTCGAGCTTGGCGTACTCAAGGCATTCGAGTTCGTCTCACAGCTACGAAGGGCTAGTGTTATCGTTCGCCAGTTTGGTTCAAAGAGCGGACAAGTATACGTCAAGGGTGCACCCGAAGTCATGAAAGAGATCTGCAGGCCTGACAGCTTCCCTACCGACTACGAGGAGCTTCTAGCCTTCTACACTCATCGTGGATTCCGTGTCATCGCTTGCGCTACGAAGTCAATCCCCAAGCTCAACTGGCTCAAGACTCAGAAGATGAAGCGTGAGGAAGCAGAGAGCGATCTGGACTTTGTTGGTTTCATCATCTTCGAGAACAAGCTCAAGGACAGCACCGCCCCTGTTATCGAAGAGCTCGAACGCGCAAACATCCGCAAGGTCATGTGCACTGGTGACAACATTCTCACTGCTATCAGTGTGGCTCGCGAGTGTGGTCTCATCAACAAGACTGCCCATTGCTTCGTACCTCATTTCGAAGAGGGTGACTCTCGGACGGCATTGTCGAAGCTCAGCTGGGAAAGTGTAGACGACCCCGTCTTCAAGCTTGACGATAACACCCTCAAGCCCCTGCCACCGCCACCCGAAGCCGACGTATCCCTCCCCTACGACATCTCCAACCTCCGCAACTACAGCTTGGCTGTCAGCGGCGACGTATTCCGCTGGATCGTCGACTTCGCCTCCGAATCCGTCCTTCGCGAGATGCTCGTCTGCGGTCAAGTCTTCGCCCGCATGTCCCCCGACGAAAAGCACGAACTCGTCGAAAAGCTTCAATCCATCGACTACTGCGTCGGCTTCTGCGGTGACGGCGCTAATGACTGCGGTGCCCTCAAAGCGGCCGACGTGGGTATCTCCCTCTCTGAAGCTGAGGCCTCGGTCGCCGCGCCCTTCACATCCCGCCAATTCGATATCTCCTGCGTCCCGCAAGTCATCAAAGAAGGTCGCGCCGCCCTCGTCACGAGCTTCAGCTGTTTCAAATACATGTCGCTCTACAGCGCCATACAATTCTGCTCCGTCTCCTTCCTCTACGCCAGCGCGAGTAACCTCGGCGACTTCCAATTCCTGTTCATCGACCTCTTGCTTATCCTGCCCATCGCCATCTTCATGGGCTGGTCCGGCGCCTACCCGATCCTCAGCCGCAAACGTCCTACTGCCAACCTCGTATCACGAAAGGTGCTTACGCCGTTACTGGGCCAAATGGTTCTCTGCATCCTCGTCCAATTCATCGCCTTCCACTACGTCCAGAAACAGGAATGGTACATGCCCCCCGTCCTCGACCCCAACCACAGCAACAGCTTGAACAGCCAAAACACAGCCTTGTTCCTAACAAGTTGCTTCCAATACATCTTCTCCGCCGTCGTCCTCAGCGTAGGAAAACCGTATCGCGAACCCATGGGCCGCAACTTGCCCTTTATCACCACCATCTTCGTCACTTTGGCTATCACACTGTACATGCTGTTTGACCCCGCCGCGTGGGTCATGTCGGCGATGGAGTTGACGTTTTTGGATACCCCGTTCAAGGTTTTCATCCTAGCGCTGGGGTTGGGCAATTTTGCGGCGGCGTATGTGGGGGAGAATATGCTGTTCCCTGGGTTGAGCAAGTGGATTGGGGTTGCGAAGGTTAGGTTTGGGGGGAGCGGGATGCAGAAGAAGAGGAAGGAGTATAAGATTATTGCTGAGGGGATGAGGATGTGAGGTAGTTTGGGTTCTGTGGGGGTGGGGGTGGAGATGAGGGGGATGGGTGCGTGGGGAGTGGTGTGTATATATATTGGGAGTGGGGTTTGGATAGACAAGAATAATGTTATGAGATTTTGACGACGGGTGTTTTTGATACGACTGAAACGTAGACATCCTTGCTCTACGTACGTCATGCTGTCCTTGCGCCGATGTTTCGCTGCTGGAAATCACGGTGAAGGCGCGCTTGTTCGTTGATGGTCCGTAGCACAGCGCAACGCGGCATGGTATCTCACTCTCACTTATCTTCGTCACCTCTGGTTGCCTAGTGGCTTATCTTCATACGGCTCTCACACAGACCTTCTGTCCTTTTCTCTACATCACACTCCACTCGTCTCTCGTCGGATACTTCGTACAGCACTCAGCACGCATCACTTGCAGTCGCCTTCGACGATCAATCCGTCTTCAACAACCACCATGCCACCAAAGAAGAAGACCGGCGAGGATGGTGCCGACACTGCCGGCGATGGCGTAAGTACAAATCAGATCACAACAACTCGAACGGTCATTAACACTCACACAGGCATTCCGCTGGACCCCCGAGAACGAACTCACAGTAAGTCCTCTCAGCTCACCCCCCATACTCACGTTTTACTAACCACATCCCTAGCTCCTTCTCCTAACCATGGGCCGCGCCCCCACCAAAGACGACTATGTCAAGCTCGTTGACGCTCTGCCGCGTAAGTTCCAGTCACGTCACCCTCCCCCCACTGGCTGTTTCGCAAGACATACATACTGACACAACCCGTCCAGCCGGTACCAACTGGAATGCAATCCGCCAGCGCTTCGGCAAGTTGCGCAAGGACCAACAGAAGCGGTTTGAAGAGTTGGGTTGGGATATGCCTGATGGTTCTGCGGCGGCTAAGACTCCGAAGACTGGTACGCCGAAGAAGAGAGCTGCTGCCGCTGATAAGGGTGAAGACGGTGGTGGTGAGGATGGAGAGACTCCGACTAAGAAGCCGCGTGCGAGGAAGGGCAAGAAGGAGGTTGTTAAGAAGGAGGTCGAGGATGATGGTGGGCTTGGTGGTGAGCTGTATCGTGAGCTAAATGGGGGTGATGGCTTTGTCAAGGAGGAGACGCTTGAAGAGGATGTTTAGGCATTTTGGGCGCTTGAGAGAACGGGCAAAGGAGCGCATGACGGGCTCTACTGATTCTTCATGATACGGGATATCTGAGTAAGGCACTGCCTCGAACATTAGCAAACTGGCAGTATGGATGCACTTTGCAGCATCTGCGGGAATTAACCAGCCTGGTAAATCCCATTTCCAAATCCGTCTTCTGTGATTTTCCATTTTCGCTTTGTGCGTGTAAAGGTGAAGGTGAGCTTGAAATCCCTCATCTTGCACAGATCTAGATTCGGATGTCACTCTCACTATCCTCAATCCCGCACTTCTCCACGTCTACTTAAACACCTCCCTCATGTCTTCTCCCCTCTCCCCTCTTCTTCCTCCACTACCACATTCCCACTTTCTTACACCATCTACCAACCCACACAAACCCAGCACTCCCATCTTGGTTCCCCATACCAACAAACTACTTCACCAACAATGCCTCCCAAGAAGAAGGTCGCAGCAGCCGGGGGCGTCGAGGCCGAAGGCGGTGTAGGTTACTCACTTTCCTAAAGTCTTTGAGCCGCTTGACTGACGTCCACAACTAGGCATTCCGCTGGACACTGGAGAACGCAAACAAGGTAAGCCAAGTCCTTCCTACCCATACTGAACCTGGAACTAACAAAGCCGAACCCAGCTCCTCATCTTGACCCAAGGCCGCTATCTCACGGGCGAAGATTACGAGCGTCTTGTTAGCGTCTTCCCTGGTATGTCTTCAACTCTCTCTCTCTCCCTCGTCCTTACAAACACTTACCCTCCCACAATACACCTTCTCCTTCACATCCACACCCCCCAATCACAACAACCCACTAACAACCCCACGCAGGAACAAACCTCAACGGCGTAAAAATCAAAGTCTCCCGTTTCCGCGTCGAGCAACGCAAGCTCTTCGATGAGTACGGCTGGACGCTTCCGGACGGCGGTGCGGTGCTGAAGAAGACTCCTACACCGCGTAAGAACAAGAAGAGGGATGCTGAAGCCGAGGATGAGGAGGATTCGTCAGATGAGACTCCGAAGGCGAAGAAGCCGCGTGGCAGGAAGGCCAAGGCAAAGAAAGAGGAGAGTGTTGAGGCTGAAGTCGAAGAGGAGGATTGTGGGAAGGTCAAAGAGGAAGTTCTTGATCAGGGTATGTAGATCTTTCTGAGATACTGAGACGTCAAACTTGGGGCGAGAATAGTCGGTTTCTACGTATACGACTTTGTTAGGATTGATATCTGGGGTATGACTGCCTTGGTTATTGCGCATTCTGGCCCCGGGGCGGTATGAAATCATTCAGCACAATCTGTGGGATTTATCTTTTACCCTGGAAATCAAGATATGCCAAGTGCGAATCTCCCGTGTCTCTTCCCGGTGAGTCAAGTGCAAAAGGTGAAGGTGACTCTTCCCTCGAAAAAGGAAATCAAGTAGAATCTCACTCTCACCTCTCTCCTCTTTCGCACTTCTAATCTCCCGCTCGAGACACGTATAAATTTCCTCGTTTCTACTCGTCTCTTAGCCTGATTCCTTTCCCACTCTTCCTCTCTCTTACCCCATCCACCTCACCACACAAACCCAGCAAGCCGTGGACCCTTTCCCAACTCAAACTCCGCAGCAACAAACACTAGAACGACCATGCCACCCAAGAAGGCAGCTACCAACGGCGATGCTGGCGAGGCCGGCGGTGTAAGTGGCATCTCTCTAGCTCCCATTTACGCAGTAAACTGACAACCATTCTAGCCGTTCAAATGGGAAGGTCCAAACGATACAAAGGTATTACATCACGCATACTCCACCTCACAGCAACACGGCTAATGATTTCGATAGCTCCTCCTCTTGACTCAAGGCCGCTACGTCAAGCCAGACGAGTATCCTCAGTTGTCTTCTGCGTTCCCTGGTATGTGCCCCCTCCCCTCTCATTCACACTTCTTTTCTTACGTCTCTGCCCGCTGTCCTCACACTACAGTGCACCACTATCCCCACGCTCCTTCTCCCATCCCCTTATCCCTCCTCCCCAACCCCCCACACCCCATCTCCAACACCCCCACTAACCCCCCTACAGGTACCTCAATCGGCAGCATCCGCAACCGCATCTCCGCGCTCCGCGTCAAACAACGCGACCTCTACCTGGAACTGAGCTGGGATCTGCCGGAGGGCGGGGCGGGACACAGTGCGAAGAAGACTGCTACTACACCGCGCAAGACACCCGGTGGCAAGAAACGTGGTGTTGATGCGGTTGAGGGCGATGGCTTAGACGAGGACGAGGTGGCTACGCCGAGCAAGAAACCGCGTGCCAAGAAGGCGAAGACTCAGGCAAAGAAGAAGGAGGAGGAGGAGAGTGTTGAGGATGCGGTTGAAGAGGAGGACGTCTCATCAGTCGGTGATGGAAAGAGTGTTGGTGTCAAAGAGGAGGTTCTTGATGAGGAGCTTGATGAGATGGTCTAGCCTATCTCCCCCCTCCACCTCACTATCTCTGTTTCTTTCCCCCGTTCTCTAGTTCAGGGGAAATCACTGGTTCTGGATCCGCTTCGCAAGCGAGTGTGCATGCTGCATCAGACACTTTCTGCGGAATATGCACGGTCTAACGACGGTACTGGGGTTTTGGTACGCGAGACAGACTTGCTTCTGCCAGGTTTATTATGGCGATGGATATGCGCTGAGCACTTGACTTGATCGTCTATCTTGAGCAAGAAAATTTCATTGATGATATAATACTCTTGCATCCGTTTATGCTTGTGCTGTTTGACGTATCTGAAGAGTGAGGTGTGTTTACTAGGATGAACGAGGGAAAAGATGGATGCAGATGCGGCATGAGAAATGTTATACTGCAGATTAGACACGTGGGGACTATCTCTGCAAGTTATCGAACTTTCCATATACGCAGAGATGAACACCATAAGAGAGGAAGGAAATATGTGCTTCATTCATTCCACACATGACTAGAATTGTAGGTATCAAACGCCGTACGCCATGTCCTTGTCCCAGTACCCGTTATCAGCGCCACATAATGCTGCTCTCTCAATACTCGCAAGTCCCATCAAATCGGGTATCTACTTCATTTGTCGCCCTTCTTCTTGCGCAGAGACTGCCCTGATCCTTCAAAATGCTTCGAATCTTTCTGCTCGCCCTCCTCCTCCTTGCCCTTGAGTGGCTTGATCTCGTACCCGAAGAACAGTTTGTTGGGTGGTAGTCTGAGCGGCTGCGGGCCGTTGGTGCGTCGTACTGTCGGAGGTGGGTTTGAGGACTGTCCCGCGATGGGGGTGGAGGCTTGCGGGGTGGGCGCCTTGCTGCCCTTCTTGAGCAGCTTGTGGCCGGTGGTGAGGAAATTTGAGGAAGTAGCCTTGGCTCCGTTGGCTGCGGTCGTCGATGATGGTGCGATGGCAGCGTAGTTGATCGCGTCCGCCATGGTGCCTTGAGCGTGTAGTGTGCCGCCTTTGCCGCTCATGACGCCCTTTCCACTGCGCGGTGTGCTTGTGCCACTGTTCCTTTGGGGCTCTTGGTAGCCTACTGGGGGAGCGAAGTCGACTGACAGATCGGTCTCGATGGTACAGACGGCCTTGCTTGGGTGTTCTGGCTTTGCTTCCAACACTGCTATGCTATACACGTTGTCGTTGTATGAAAAGGTGAATATGTCGCCAACGGTAAGGCAGGAGAAGTTGCGGAACGCGTTTTCGAGCACGGCCTTGGGATCGGAGATTTCGAGGAAGGAGGAGTCTTGCGGTTGCAGCTTGATAAAGGTGCCGAGAGGGATGTCGGTCGACTTGACTTGTAGCAGGTCACCGGGCTCCAGCTGGAGTGTCTCCATAAGCCAGTATGGCAGGTAGATCTTGCCCTCCTCTGCGATGAATTCCAGCACACCTGCGTGTGTCTTCTTCCCGTCCGCCTTGCCATTTATAAGCTCGAAGAGCATGGGGTATGTGATGTGCAGCCTGGTGAGCTTGTCGAGAGCACTCGGAGGGAGGAACACTTTGCCGCCGTGGTTTGCCTCGTGGCGCTCCGGGCCAGGCAACATGACGATGGGATAGCATCGAAAGTACTCATCGAAGCGTCGAGGAGCGCCGCCGCGACGTGCGGCGAGGGACTGGTACATGGCCATGGGATCGTCTTGGTCGTAAAAGTTGGGGTTGAACTGTACGTGGTGAGTGTAGGACAAAGAAGGTGGTGGGGTCGCTCTTACCATTTTAAGTGTGCGGAATCAGTGAGTCAGATGATCTTTTAGAGGGCAGTGAAGGGTTCGGGTATTGTTAGGTAACGGCGGGCAGGTGGTAGAAGTAATACGTATTGATGAGAGGCCTGGGATGACGACCGTGGTTGGTAGCAGTACAGCGGGCCGTTTGAGCCAGTGAGAAGTCCGCTAAACTCCGATTAGCGCGTCATGGCCCAAGCTTCAAATTAATCGCGTCCGACGTCACTGCCTGGCCGCCTGGATTCACATATCGCCAAACCTCGACGCCGCAAGACCGCGCAACGTTGCTAATCGTCATGGCCAGCTCTAGTGGAACATACAATCCCGCGCGACCGAAGCGCGCTGGCGAGCAATTCACGCGAACCCACCACATGGACGCCGACGAACATTCCACCAAGAAACCCCGCTTTGACCCGCGCAACCCCTCCACGCTGGCTCCGGATGCAGACGACGAAGAAGATCCTGCTCTCGAGGCTGACGTGATAGGAAAAAGCGCAGGCATCAAGCGGAACGCAGTCAACATCGACGGCTACGACTCAGACAGCTCCACGGAGAACTTCGAGGCGCGCGCAAAAGCCCGACCCAACAAGGACGAGCCGCCCAAAACCGAGGACGATGACGACGACATGTTCGCCGAGGATGACAAGGACGATGAGATGGACGAGGGGTTGCGGAGAGATCAGACCAAGAAGAAGAAGTTGCGCTTCCTGGACGACGCCGAGATCGAGGGCCAGGAAGCGAACAGCAAGTCTGGGGGTCACGTAGCCGTGGACTTCACCAAGGGCCCGAAGAGCAGAACAGAAGAAGTGGAGAGCAGTAGCGATGAGGGAGATGACGAGTTGCGCGACCACGTTCCCTCCGACGTCGACGAGGAGATAGGTGCAGGTGGCAAGAAGAAGCATGCGCCTAAGCTGGATGCTTTCAACATGAGCGCCGAGCAGGAAGAGGGTCGTTTTGACGAAGCAGGAAACTTTGTGCGCAAGGCTTTTGACCCTGAAGCTGCCCAAGACTCGTGGTTGGACGGCATATCGAAGAAGGACATCAAAAAGGCAAAGGAGGCGCAAGACAAGCTGGATGCCGAGCGAAAGGCACGAGAACGAGCCGAAGACTCCATCGTGACCAGCGACGTTCTATCGACCCTTATCACGCACCTGGACGTTGGCGAGACGCCCATGGAGGCTCTCGTCCGATACGGCAAGGCAGCACCGAAGAAGCCAGCCAAGAACTGGGCCAAGAAGAAGAAGAGCCAGGCTATGGAGGTCGATTCAGATCCATCGCAGGATGCTGCGGCGATCCAGGCAAAGGAGGTGATTGATTCTATAACCGAATGCGCCAGTCGGCTGTCTGATCGCGGCGTCGAGGATATTTACGAACTCCCCCGCGAATCCATCATGCGGCAGTACAAGCGTGAGACTGGAGAGGACTGGAAGAACCCGAACCCGGAGACAGTGCAGTGGGAATTCCACTGGCTCAACGCACCAGAAGGTGAGATTAATGGGCCATACGACCAGGCGACCATGCAAGCGTGGGAAGCAAGTGGGCAGTTTGCAGCGGGAGCCGAATTCCGACGCGTCGGCGAGACTGAATTCTCGCGGCTGCTCGACTTTGAGGACTGAAGGGGCATGCAATTGATGTAAGCACAGCCACGATGTCTGTCGCGTAACCAGTCCGCAGAAAAGGGATGATGGCGAGACGTCGCGCCTGAGAGTGGTGTTCGGCCCAGTGGCCGGATTCACATGATCAGCTATGCATGCAGGCTAAGCGATCCTACAAACCACATCTGCTGTGCTCAGCCAGTCGGAAACTTGATAAAAGCGGGAAGCCGTCCCTGATCGTCTTCCATGGCCGAGTATATGCCTAGCTCTCAGATGGTCTGTCAAATGAGATGAGTGAGTGTGCTGTGCGGCGTGGACTGCGCAGCGTGGATGAGGATTATACAGAGTTATGTGTAGACCACAATAGAATATGAACA